TTTGTCACACTGAGTTGCAGCACCCGGATCCACTTTCACTCTCTTAAATGGCTTTGTGGGGATTACTCATGTTGCAGGCTACTGTGAAATCTGTTTGTCATGTTTTTGTCTGAGCTGTCGCATGTTATAGTACGTCTCCTTGAAATTCTGGATTCTAAGGGGTGTGGAGCTGCATGACCACAGAGCTTTAAGATTATATTAGAAAACAGAGTCAGGACAGTGAAGCATCTATTGGAAGCAAGGGGCCTTAGTATAACAGGAAAAGCCACACTATTATGGAGAAGCTGCACAAGCTTTGAAAAAAAAAAAAAAACTGGAAAGTGAACAAGAGATAATCATTTTAAAACCTGGGGCTGAAGAGAGGGCTTAGCGGTTAGCAGTGCGTGCTGCTTTTCCTGTGGACAAGAGTCTGATGACCAGCATCAAATCAAGCAGCTCACAACCTCCTGAAGTTCTAGCTCCACAGCATCCAACGCCCTCTTCTGACTTCCTTGTACTATAGTGGGAAAGATGGACAATGAGAACTGAGGGACTACTGAAAAGATACAAAGACAGTTGCGTAGGAGCATGAAGAATATAGGGATCAAATGTCACAGCTGAAGGGTAATAAAATGGTTAGGATCAAGAGCTTTGGAGTCAGAGAGGTCTGAGTTAAAAAATATTCACTGTTTTATGCTCTGAGAATCACAGCAGGAACCCTGCAAGACCAGTCTGTGCTACATGTTTGCTTAGGTCAGCGTGGACTATAGATTGATATCTATTCTCACAAAGGTAAACCACGAGGTAGGTGGAGAGATGGTTCAGTGGTTAGGAGTATTCGCTGCTCCTGCCAAGGATCCAGGTTTGCTTTCTAGAACCCACAGGGCAACTCACAACCTTCTGCAAGCCCAGTTCTGGGTGATCTGATGCCCTCTGCTGGCCTCCGTGTCCACCAACAAGCATTCTCATGGTTCACAGACATAAAAGCTAGCAAAGCACCCATAGACTTTAAAAGAAACCAACTACTTTTAAGACATAAAAAGAAAATGAATAACTCAGCGAGTTCAGAGCATGAACCATTTAGTCTAAGAAAGTTCAATCATCTTTATTTATTACAAGCCTTTCATATATATATATATATTATGTATACAATATTCTGTCTGTGTGTATGTCTGCAGGCCAAAGAGGGCACCAGACCTCATTACAGATGGTTTTGAGCCACCATGTGGTTGTCAGGAATTGAACTCAGGACCTTTGGAAGAGCAGGCAATGCTGTTAACCACTGAGTCATCTCTCCAGCCCCCAAGCCTTTCATTCTTTAGCATAATATAAATCTAATCTTTATAAACACTGGGAATTTATGACTTCTGTGTTGGAATATTTTAGAAGGACCTTCAATTAAATTTCTTCAAACAAAGTGGATTTTGTAGTAACTTATATAGCATGTAAGTCTCCCATAGACTACCGCTGCCCTCCTCCCTTTTTTTGCATGGCCACGGCTGTTCTCCGGCTGTTCTCTGCCATCCAGTGTACAAGAAAGGAGAAAAAGAGGAGGCTGGGCAGGCAATGTCTTGTTAGGAAACAGATGGAAAGTGTGCAAATCATTCCTATTGGTATTTCATCAAAGTAAACACAGCCATGAGGTCACACCTACCTGAACGGGAAACTGGGGTGTAATCTCTAGAGGTACAGCTAGAAAAGATGGATCTCCAAAACAAATTTGGAAACACTGAGCTAACGGTTAGGCTTTTGATCAAGCATCCAGGAAAACACACACACACACACTCCTTTCTAGTGTGTGCTGATGCCTTGAGCAGATTAGAAAGAAGAGTCCCAAGCTGTGGATCTCTATTCCATCTGAGAAAGACGAGTTATTTCACCTCAAGGAGACACTGATCACACACAGACTGTGGCAGTGAAGAACAAGTGAGCATCTGTAGTCCCCCCTGGCATGCTCCACTTTTTCCTGGGCTGCTGCTAGAAGAAAGAGCATCAAAGTTGTGGAAAGGTGGAGGGAAGCCATGAGGCACAGACAGGCTGGCTGCAGGACAGGGTGACAGCTAGCGGCAGGGACAGCGACATAACAGAGTGAACAGAAGAGAAGCTTATGAGACAATCAGGCACAGAGAAGACACCCTGAGCGGTCTCGGAAGGTGTCACTGTGCTACTTGGTGCAAGTATCAAGTGTAGCAAATGGTGCTCAGGAGGGTTCTCATGCGGAAAGCAGCCCTTGGGAAAGGGACACGATGCAGTGGCGTGTATGTCCTCTCCACTGTTCTTGACTCCCGCCTTCCCCGCGTTCCACATCAAAAACCAATCCCGGGATAACTTGTATTCCAGTTAAGTGAGATAGAAATAAAGAGTAGCAAAATGCTTTCAATGAGGAATGAAATCTCAGAGGGAAAGCTTATAAAGAATCAGGACAACGGCTGTGTAAGAAAGACGTATAAGTGTGCCAAAGCTTGCAGAATATAACAAGAGTTGACATATAAACATGTTTCCCTACGCCAAGAGCGAACTTAACCCAGAGAGCCTCATTATCCAATAAAATTAGCTGAATCAAAGGTAAATAGAGCTAGGTAAATATAATCTTGGCATTTAATAGTTTTTTCACCTTTGACACATATGAAAAATTACATTGGTAATAATAATACATTAATGGATATGTTTAAAGTTATAGCTTACACTGGTTATGAATATGTGTGTATACGTGTTTTCTTTGTCAGTTTGGGAAGCTTAGAACTTGAGCTTAAGAACAAGTATATATTATTCAATTAATTTTAAAATATCATTTGCTGGGGCTAGAGAGATAGCTCAGTGGGTAAGGACATATGTTTATATGGCATATAAACATAAGCTCAATGGGTAAAAATGTTTGCCATATAAACATAAGAACTCAAGTTCAAATTGCCAGAGCCACCCCCCCCCCCCCCCCCAAAAGCTGGGCTTGATCATCTATAAGCCGGTAGCCCTGGTTCTGTAAGTACCAGAAACAGAAGAATCTTTGGGGTTTGTTGGCCTACAGTTAAGCTCCAGGTTCAGTGGGAGACCTGTCTAAAGGGAATAAGGCAGAGGGACTGAGCAGAACACGTGATGTCTTTCTCTAGCCTTCTTGTGTGTGCACAGATACCAAAAACCACACACTGCTAAAATGTGATTTATCACCACTACCAGATTCATATAAAGGAGGATGATATACAGAGAGTTTAAAAGGCACAAATCAGAGCATAATCGAGATCTTAATCTTGACTTCGAAAAGTATAAGAAGCAAGATATTTCAGTTCAATTCCACCCAACAGGAGCTTTTTGTATAAAATATGAATTTATTAATGATTTAAAGTAGGAAGCCCCTTTGGTAGCTCATCTCCAGAGGAGAAATTTACCATAAATACAGAACAAGATTTTGAGTTTGAGGAACACAATCTATCCAGGACCTAGAAGGTTTCCGGAAATCTTCCCCTTGTAGTGGCTTCGTTCATTTGCATCAATTTTTGTCTGAAGAACTTTCTTTAGAACATGAGCAAAAAAAATCACACAACACAGATCTCTCTCTTGGCAGAAAGACTTGTAATCCCTATATTCGAACTCCAAGTCTCCATGAGGAGGAAACACTGATCCTACACAGTTCAATCCCCCCCCCCTCAGCCATTTCAGCTGTGACTGACGCAGCCAGGCCATCTAAAAAGAATCACGCTGTGTACTGTGAAGTGGTGCCAGTGGGGGAACCCCAAGAGTTGAGCAGACGCCTCTCTATTGTCTTCACATAGTCACCTGAGAAATAGGCATATGTAAACATGAAGGATTAAAATATAATCCAGTGACTACATACTGAAGGGATGGGTTTACTCAAGGGTGGGATATAACAGAAACAAGATGGAACTTGAACGCCAAGTCCTGGGTTCTGAGGATGGTCACACATCCCTCATTCATCATTTTATCTTCTTATGTATAAAATGTAGCACCTGCTAAATATACAATACATGGCAGAATTCGGACAAGAACAGTATGCTTCACCAAACGTGTTTTGTACACGCCATCTTGGTGAAGCATTACACTGTATGTTGGCAGTAGAATTAAGATATATTCTTAAGGAAGTCCATGTCTGTCGGTGTTAAAATACAGCACATCTATTGACTATAATCCTAGATGTGGCTTGAGTTGTTGGCATGAACAAGTTTTTGGAAGGTGTTGAGACATAGATGAGAACTTAGGGGAGATCTGAACAAGAACTTTTCGTATGAAAGTGGGGTAAAACTTCCAGCTGAACAGGAAGGCTGGTGGTTTATATTTACTGTGGCAGGGAAACTACACTGGGAACATAAAAGACATCTTCTAAATGCTGCGGGTTTCAAATAAAAGGGCCATGGTAAATACCAATACAGTTTCCAGTTTATGTTTGTTTATCTGTTTATTTATTTTTGAGCCAGAGTCCAACTGTGATGTTCAGTCTGGTCTCCAATGCCTACGCTTGTGATCCTTTCTTTGGCTTCCCAAGACATGGGACTACAGGCAGATGAAGACATACTTAATTTGTGCCAGATTCTCAGTAGCGTTTTTAATGCAAGCTTTTTTCATGGCACTGAAACCTGAAAATCCACACTGTGGGTATTTTACCTTAAGATGAACTGACAGCATATTTTCTGTGCCCCACAAAAATAGGAATTCAAAAAGGAAGAAGAGGATGCTACATTATTGGAATAAGGTCATGATCTTTTCATCCCAAGCTTACATTACAAATATATCCAAAGCAACTTTTCTGGTTTAACTGGCAAGAAAAGAAGAAATGGTACAAGCTTGGGCATTTCAGAATTGCTGCTTTGCACTCTAGTCAAAGGCTTCCAAAGTGATTTGCCATCTCGGAACAGTTTGTCCACTTCACTTAGAAATTAGAAATGTGTTTTGGCCAATAAATCTAACTTTATTTTGTAGTAGTCATTTTTCTTAATGGGAGTGTTTTCCAGATGTTGCCTAAGTCTAGTCGTCTGGGCCCTCGGCCAACAAATGAGGAAAGCTTGATTTCATAGGTTGTCACTGTTGATTTTGCTTAACCTTTGGACTAATTGGTTCATCCCAATCCATTTGCACTGGTATATAAGACTTCCAGCAACAGTGGGAGAAATTCATCTCTCCTTTTTCAGGTAAGTGTCAAGGTTAACCTGCTTTTTGTAGTGTTAAGTATGTCTTCACTAAATGTGTTTGAAAAGGGACAGCAGTTAGTTTAGAAAAGAACCGTAACTATGCGAGGTACTTGTTGGAAGCCTATGAATTTATATTGAGTTAAGTGAAAGTTGGAAGATCTATTGCTCTTGTTAATCTCAATTTTGTTGAAGCTGGTCATTTTATTTCCAGGACATGATTTAAGCCTTGCGCTGTAAGTACAGACGACGCCCCCAACCGAGTTATAAAATAAGTCTATTTTTCTGCTATTATTCTGGGGTGTTATAGTGGTTGGTAATTTAATTGAGTTGTCTTGTTCTGTGTCATATTAAACATGATGATCACCTACTTTCTTAGGAATTCAAGCTGATTTCTCAGAAGTTCTGTTTTAAGGATGGAGTGGATTATTATTGACTTATGTTTGGAAAGTTTCTGGATGCTGTGCACGCGGCACACATTATGCAGTAGTGAGATGAAAGAGCAGGTTTCTGACGCTTTTCTTCTTATTTCAGGCAAGGGTGTCGCATCGGAGACCTGCCATGGGGTGGAAAATACTTCCCATCTGCTTGTTGCTGCTGCTGCCTGCCTTCTTGATTCAACAAGTTTCATCTCAAGGTAACTTCACCATCACAAAATGCTTCTGTCCAGCCATTGTTGCTAAGCCCCCAGTGGGGCTTTGTGACAGCAACAAGAAAATAGATTCAGAAGCATATATATTTGCTTGAGTCGGACAATTTGCAACCCTAAAGTTGAAACACACACAGTATATTTGTGTGTTTTGGAATTCTCACCTCTTCCTCTGGCACTGTAAGAGCTTTGAGGGAGTTCTGAATTTTGATAGAATAGCATCCTTATTCTGTTTATTCAGGTTTCCTCCAAAATGAAAGAAAAATCAGACATTTGTATAGCAAAACTATGCCAGAGCTACACAAGACCATCAAAAGAAATGAAAATATGACATTTAAATAACATTTGCTGGCCTGTTGACAGATTTAACCAATCTTTCACATCAAATGAATCATTATAAATAACTTACTTTATCATCATGTCAGCATAGATAGACTATCGTAAGGTACATTTACAGTGTTTCTCGTGGAATTTTATGAGACTTAAATACTCTCTTCCTTGCAGGGGCAATCCACCCCATTATGGGCTTGTACAGAGCTGAGCGCTATTTCTTATAACATTGTTCAGTTCTTCAGAGTCTGTCCCAGGCAAATAGTAGGTTATTCCTATAGAAGCCCTTGGTGTACACTCAGCAGAGTCATAGTCGAGAGTCCACCGCATGAGACTGAAGCTGTTTAGCCTTAACAATATGTAACTTCAGCTTTTCCCTTCAACGTATACAGCATGAGAGAAGAAAATCAATATCCATGATTATTACAGTGAAGTTTTATTTTTAAAATAGACCTTTCTAGTGAAATGTCTAACATTTTTCATTGAGTCTGAACACGAGAGATGACTGCTTGCTTGCTCAGGCATGTTTTCAGAGTCACCCAGATAAGACAAGGAGGAAAACACAGAAATCAAACCTAAATGCTGAGTGAGGAGTGATGGCCACACTCCCTGTCTCAGGCCTTTCAGTTTCCTCATTTGGTATTAAGACTCAACACTGGGTGCCTCCTAAGCCACCCCTTTTCTTTCTGAAACAATGCTTATCTATCCAAAGTTCTTTTTAAATAAATAAACTTATAAGTATAATTATAATCAGTGGAACGGGGAGATGATGGCGTGGTGGCAAACTATGTGATGCACAACGTGAGAACTGGACTTCAGATCCTCAGTACCTGCATGGAAAGCTAGGCACAGCAGTAGGCGTCTGTAACCCTAGCTCTGGGAGCCAAGACAGGCTGACCCTGGAACTCATTAGCCAAGCAGACTAGCCCTGCAAGCTCCAGGCTCAATGAGAGATCCTAGCTAAGAAAATAAGGCGGAAAGTGATGGAGAAAGTCTGGCATCAACCTCTGGCCTCCACATGTGCAAACACACATGCATGTACCACACACCACACATGCACACACACACACACACACACACACGGTTTAAATAAATAGCAATTAACACGAGGCTATAATAGACCATCTATGAAAAATAAGTGCGTTTGTTCTAGAAATCTAAGTGTATAAGAATAATCTTTTGATGTTGTTTTGTCTGCTTTTCTTGCCTTCTCAACCTCTTCTCATTCTCTTCCCTTTATATATAATATATGTATTTATATACATACACTATATATGCATTTTTTGTGTGTATTGTGCACATATGTATGTAAGCAACCATTCTACAAGTTATCCTACTCTTTATTGTTTCTTATATATATGTGTATTAAGACTTAACTTTCCTGGATGCTCTTGAGATTTTTTTTTCAGTGTATTTCGATATCCCCCTACAGATTAGGCCATTGCAGAAGTGGATTCCTTTGTTACATTCATGCTGTTATCTCCTGGGGAGGATTTCACAGTGCTATCTCTCAACTGGTGCTTAGAAATATTTGAGGCTAATTATCCCATCCCATCACAAACACTCAGTTCATGACCTTTATATCCACACCCAGATCTTATTTCGTTCTCGCTTATTCCTGTTGACAGAGAGCACTTGGAAGAGTCTGCGCTCGCCTAGCCAGCCTGTTCTAGGTTCGCCACTGAGCGTGAGAGGCAGTGCAATTAGTGGAGAAGGCTCATGCTTCAAATTCAGATATATGAGTTTGAGCTTGAAATGGACTGTCTGTTTAGGATGACTATAATTGACTATCCCAAATCAGGGCATTTATAAAAGTAAAGGGGTTATGCAAATAAGGGATATATATTAGTGTATATATATATATATTATATACATATATATTTGCATATACATGTAGTAACTAGCTGTGTATGACTGGGCAAGTTATCAAAATTTGTCTTTTTTGTTTTTTGAGAAAGGCTTTCTCTGTGTAGCCCTGGCTGTCCTAGGACTCTCACTGTAGACCAGGCTGGCCTTGAACTCACAGAGATTTCCCTGCCTCTGTCTCGCAAGTGCTGGGATCAAAAGCATGCACCACCACCCATGTCAGTCACCCGTTTTTATCTTAGATACGGCTACTTTCTTGGAAACATTTTCCTAAGCTTTGGATAGAATGTATGGCTTGGTTTCTGCCATAGAGCTGCTCAAAAAATGGCCACTGGTAATCATAATAGAAGCATTCTGCAGCTGTAATGGCCACCTTCCCCCCAGGATTATTGCTCCTCGTGGAAGCATTACTTAGCTTCCATGGTACATCTATCACCCCAGTCTCGTGATGGATAAAATGGCGTGAGTAAGACCACACAAAGGCTCACCCCGGTATCAGCTAGGCCCATCGCTGCGCACGATTCCCAGCCTTGACCAGTGGGTAAGGCTCTCCCTCTTGGATGACTTTGTCCTCCCGAGTAGACCTCCCCTTTTCTAAGTGGTTTGGCCGTGTTTACCCTAGTATTGTGTACTTTTAGACTTGCCAAGCTGTGCAGGGAGATGTGGGGAAGGGTATTCTAGAGATGCCACCTGCAACTGTGATTTTAACTGCCAACACTACATGGAGTGCTGCCCTGATTTCAAGAGAGTCTGCACTACAGGTACGTTCTGAGAGCTGGGCGTCGTCTGTCAAGCCCGTTGTTCGTCCCTTTACCTGCTTTGGCACCCTCTGCAGCTCTGTTCCTCCTCCCTCCACCTCTGTTCAAGTGCCTGTTCCTTCACTTGCATAAACGTTTAAGTGCACCGTACCTAAGGATGGTCCCAAAGCTTCTGATTTCTGGGGTTGGGTCATGGACAGAAGCTTGGGCACTTGTCACTTGCACATATGGATCAAGTGCTTGCATGTAAAATGTCTTAATTGGGCCTTAATAATGTGACTTGGTAGGCATCGAGTAAAAAGGAAGGCATACTTCTTCGCCAACAGTTGACTTTTGATGGCTTAGAGATCGAGCCTTTCAGATAGTCTCAGGAAAGGAAGGACCAATAGGAATAGAATACTTACATATGCTATTTGAACTTTGGGTATTAAATGTGTTTTTAAAGAGGATATTTTAAAGATCAAAAAAATAGGAGGGTTAACTAATGAATTTCAAAAGCCCAAAAGTTCTAAATCATGAGTGGTATTTCAGTTGAACACTAGTTGGGTCATTTCTCATAATAGATGCAGACCAATTTAATATTCAGTTTATGAAAACTATAATTAAAGTCTATGAAATTTATATGTGCATTAGAATTTGCATGTGGAGGTGGTAACGATAGTGCTGTAAGGCTGAGCATTGGGTGAAGTGGTTCAAGCAGGCCTTGGTTAAATCATCGTAACTTCCATTGAGTTTTCTCTGGAACAGCAGGCCATGTGTCACAGTCTACACCGTGGCATTAACTGAAACCTTTCAGTCTTATTCTCTGCCCAGTTTTTCATCTCCAAAGTGTTTGCATTTTAAGTGATTTGGGGCCTGAACAGTGGCCTGCTCAGCTAGTTTCCCAGGCTATATTGTTATAAGAGGGAGAGATTCAATGACTACAGATCTATTACAAAGACTTGTAGGTGTGAGGAGAGGATGAAGGCCCTCGTATGAAGGGCAGCCTGCTCTAACGATAGCTCCCAGTTTTCTATTGTGTCTACACACGTACAGGACTCAGGCAGCATCAGGATGTTTCCTGCTAGTTTACAAGGGAAAGAACGATGCCCCAACTTGTCAGATTTCTTCCCTGACGTAGGCTGTCTCTATTTGGACATCATCCTTTTAAATTCAATTTTTAAGACTAGATGATGTGCGCACTCCGAATTCCAAATAAGAGACGTAGAAGTGCACCCTTGGGACCCGGGTCAGTTGTCGGAAGAGAAATGCTACAAGATGCGTCAGTGTGGCTTTGTGACTAATAATCCACGTTGCCTGTTTTGCTCTGGGCAGAGCTCTCCTGCAAAGGCCGCTGCTTCGAGTCCTTCCAGCGAGGGAGGGAGTGTGACTGTGACTCCCAGTGTAAGGAGTTCGGCAAGTGCTGTGACGATTATGCGACTTTCTGTGAAGAAGGTAAGGACCATGGCGCCAGCCAGTGCTGCTCAGCATAGCCAGCCCAGGACACACCTTGGCCTCAGTGATGTCTAACACACATCTAAGGTCTTGATTTTACTAATGTATAAGTTGCTTCCTAATAGTTTGGTTTTACAAAGACAAAGAAAAGCACCGTCCGCCAGGAACCTCGCAGTGACCTCTAGTTCACTAGCAAGGGGGATGTGGGCTAAGTGGACAGGCTTTCATCTCCTAAGGTGCGTCTTTCCCACTTTAAATCTTGTCCCCACCTAAAGGATCGCCTGCACAGAACCAGTTGTCCTTAGAGCTTTTTGTGCTCCGAGCCTAAATGTACTGGGTATATGTTTTTAAAGGCAGAACGCTTCCAGCTTCTTGTATAAATCAACTCGTTGCTAAATCTACAGACAAATCTGCTAAAAAGTTGATACCTCAATTAATTATTTGTGCCTGCCCATCCCTAGAGTCCTCTCAGTGGTCTTTACACCAAGCTGGTGCAGGACAAATTCAATAAAAAGGGACGGTCTCACTTAAAAACCTTCTCTGGCCATCAAACCTGAAGGAATCCTCTCACAGTATAACAACAGCCCATCCTTTTTTCTCTTACAAGATAAAATAATAGAATACTTTCTTCTCCAAATATTTGTTCTTAACCATTCTTTGTCAAAATGTGAATATCAGTGGAGGCAAAACTGAGATAAGCATTGCTTGCATAATTAGATCATATTTTTCTTTGGCTGTGCCTCTCCTATGTTTAGAATGGCGGAAACTCAATCAGAGTTGAGGGCTGTTTCTTAACTCTTCAGTATTTTTACAGGAAGTATTTTAAAAGCACTGGAGACACCACCCTTATTTCAAAACCCCAGAGGTCAGCAATCCCGCAGCTTTCAGAAGGCAGCGGGATGGGGATATGGATATCTACTCACCACTTTGATAATTATTTTGGCTAAGAGACAAGCCAAAACCAAACAAAGAAAACAACCCAACACCCTACCTCCCCAATACACCAAGCAGTTGTTTTGGCAGAGGATGGGTGGGGAGACTGAGTGAAGACATGGACAGACCACTTGAACTGCACATAGGACTCTGTGCTTCCGAAGTAGATCTGAGGTTAGGCAGGAAGAGGAAAGAATGGCGGCAATGCACAGAAACACCATTCACAGATTTCAGGAAGCCAGTCAGGCTCCCACTGAAAATGAAAGGCCCACCCAGAGCTTCAGAACCTCACGAAAGCAGGATGGAAACTGCGAGGTCGCTTCAGGGTTGCCATAGATACGGGTTATTGGGGTCTACCGAAAAACTGCAACATTTTGAGAGCTGACAGGAGCCATATCAGCCCAGTTGCCTCCCACCATGGGTAGAGAAGCCGGAATGGTTGTTATCTGTTTTGGCCACGCTCACTAACTAGTACCCGCCAGAACTATTACTCAATTTGGCATCTTGCTAGGGGGGGAGGAGAAAGAGGGCGAGGTACAGTGCCCGGTTCCTGGAAGCCAGAAGAGGAGCTCTGAGGAGACGGTGGGAGTAGCGGTGGATGGAACTCTTGTCTTCCCCATCTCCACGGCTGTTTCTTCTCTCTACCCCTCTTTCCTTCTGATCCCCAGTGTTGTCCCATGCCCCCCTTTTTAGATGTTAAGGCGTGGGAGGAGGGAATAAAAGGCAAAGGAGACACACACCAAACCATTAGTGTGTGTTAGGTTGGGAAGGGCAACTCATTTGTGGAGGTGTGAAATCTTCAAAATATACCTATACAATGTTTATAATAAAACTCAGGGCAAACCGGCACTATTTGACTTAAATACATATGAAAATAGGAAAAATATACTAGAGTTGACTAGGGCATGATTTTTCCCATTATCCATGTGCAGTATTACTTCTGTAATTGTGGGATGATGGCAAGATAGGTGAAACTCATAGAATGACAACTTGTTTTAGGTGGTCATTTCTCTTCAGCAATGCTGCATACGCATTTCACTTCACAGATGGGAAAATGTTCCATAGTCTGGCCTAGATTCCAAGATCGAAAAGGTAGACACCCGGAGAAGCATACGACTAGCATTTAGAACGGTGACTCCCGAGACTGCTTTCTAGCACAATTTCCCACAGTTTGAGAATCCTATTTTATAGCAATGTGTCCTCAGAATTACTGGAGTTCTTTGTGCTGGGCTACAGCTGTCCTGTCCTGACATTTAGCAGCGTCCCCTCCTGAAGCCACATGCATCCGTGCTTTTCAGTCAGCAATGCTGAGGAGTCTAAACTGATGCTAACCGATCTGTCTTGCTTGGCTCAGTGCATAATCCCACAACACCACCTCCAAAGACTGCACCTCCGCCTCCAAGAGCATCTCCCATCATCAAATCAACCACCAAACGCTCACCCAAATCACCAAAAAAGAAGACTAAGAAAGTTGTAGAATCAGAGGAAATAACAGAAGGTAGGAAGATGACAGACATCACTACAGGACATTTCTGAACTGAAATACCTGTAGGTGGACTATTCATATGAATAGCCTCAGAGGGTGATCTTTTGAGCCATGGAGGGCTCATGGTTTTTTGTTTATTTACTTGATTTATGCTAAAATTTCAGCTAAAATATAAACCCTTGGATATTTTTAGCCCTTGTTTACCAAACCCGGCATGGGTGGTCTTTATCAGAAGAGACAAATCTCACTGTAAAAAATGAAAACATTTTTTCTCTATATTTTATATAACTTTAAGTAGGGGTGGGAAAATAAGGAGAAAGTTATATTGTTAGTATATGCAATCAGTTCAGGTGACTTGCTTTTGATTGACAGCTTTACAAAGCGAGTAGTTGCATTACCCATAAAATGACAGCGGACTACAACTCTCGAAGGCCAGTTATCAGCATTTCTTGTTGTGTATGGACCGGCAGTTCTTTTTTGCTTTGTTCTAAATCACAGTTGGTGTGATCAAATTTTTTATTTGATTTATAGAACATTCTGTTTCTGAAAATCAAGAGTCCTCCTCCTCCTCTTCTTCTTCCTCTTCAACTATTCGGAAAATCAAGTCTTCCAAAAATTCAGCTAATAGAGAATTACAGAAGAACCCAAAAGGTTTGAGCATTGATAAAGATCAAAGACTCTATCAATGCCATGCTAAACAATTATTTTTTAAAAAGTCATGTGTGTTGATAGAATGGTTTGAGATCTTGCTATCTGGGGAGTGTGTAACTATGGAAACATTCAGTTTAGAAAGTAGGAAATGAAGACACCTTACAGAGACTCAGTGGTATGTAGTTAAGCCAGCCTGTACAGCCAGGAATCCGAAGACGCTGGAGTAGTGACTGGATGCAGTCTGTTAGAATTCCTGTCTAGCTGATCACCGTGTTTTTCCATTCTATCTCCAGCTTTTGTTTTCTCTTCTATGGTTTTCTTTAACAAAAACCCAGTGTTTCCCCAGCATTAGTCCTTGACATTCTCCTAAACTCCAGGGAAAGGCAAGATTATCATTCCTGTTATATAGATCTTTATTATTTTTCTAACTTTTAAAATCATGAGTCTCACTTCTCTCTGCAAGTTAAAGAATAGGCTATTATTTCCTGGGAAGGGATTCCACCTGATCTTTGTATTTCCTGAAATTCTAAAATATATTCTTTCTCTTATAGTAAGTAATGGAATTTTGAGGAACATCTCCCTGGGTAGCCACAGTTTCTTATAACCTTCCTTATACCCTAATAGCCAGATAGTCTCACTTCAATTCCTTCAAAGAATCCTGCTCACAATGGAAGTGCAATACAAGTTTGCTAAACAGAGTTAGTATCAGTGAAATGCTTTTTGCTTAGCTCCCCTAAAGGGCAGCTGCTGTGGGGAATCTTAAGTACAGTCTATTGCTCTGGCACCCTAATTGTCTACGTCTTCTGGGACAACTGAGTTCAGGTGTGCATTTGAAAAGAATCAGTCAACAGCCCTACGCATGGCAACTAGGTTCATCAGAAACCTTTGGGAAGAGTGGAGCCAAATCCTCAGTCAGCAGTAGAGGCCTTTGTAGGAGTTAGTGCAAAGAAGCTACAAGAGTTTGCACTCAAGTTTCCAGGAAGAAGGGACAACATTGAACACTATGGAATGAGAGTGGGTGGCATGGTGGACCAAGTGAGGTAAAGAAATGAACACAGACATGGAGTTATGCCACTGATCACTTTGCTGGCTGCAATGGCTGCAAGCTGCTACTGTCTTCCATGTATTTATATTTAGGGCTTCATTTGTGGTTTCATCTGTTTGCCACATTTACTCAATAAGTCTCCAAAGACAGAAAATTTACCATACATTAACAGACGCATTAAAGGTTAGCAATTTGCCTACTGACACCTACCTAGTCAATGATCTTTATGTTACTATTAGAGAGAGAAAAAGTATTCAAAATAACAACTTTTATTTCCTTCTCTAGAGAAAGATAACAAGAAACCTCCCCCTAAAAAGGAACCTAAACCAGAACCTCCAGTCGTAGATGAAGCTGGAAGTGGACAGGATAATGGTGAAGCCAAGCTCACCCCAGCTCCTGACAGTCCTACCACTCCGCCTCCCAAGACTACAGCAGCAAAACCTGCAAGTCCCAAACCCAGTCTTAATTCTGAGACATCCAAAGAAGCATCTTCAACTTCCAACAAAGAGACAGTAGTGGAAACGAAGGAGACTAGTGCAACAAATAAACAGACTTCCGCCAGTAAAAAAGAGAAAACTACTTCAGCGAAAGAAATACGGAGTGCAGAGAATAAAGATGTTGCACCCACATCTCCTACACCTACCACCTCCAAGAACCCAGCTCCCACAACCACCAAGCCAGTACCCACTACTACAAAGGAACCAGCTCCCACTACCACCAAGCCAGTACCCACTACTACAAAGGAACCAGCTCCCACAACCACCAAGAAGCCTGTACCCACTACTACAAAGGAACCGGCTCCCACTACCACCAAGAAGCCTGTAACTACAACCAAGGAACCTACTCCTACCACTCCCCAAAAGCCTGAACCCACCCCCAAGGAACCGGCGCCCACGACCCCGAAGGAGCCCGAGCCCACGACCCCGAAGGAGCCTGAACCCACGACCCCCAAGGAACTGGCTCCCACGACCCCTAAGGAGCCCGAACCCACGACCCCCAAGGAACTGGCTCCCACGACCACTAAAAAGCCTGAGCCCACCACCCCCAAGGAACCAGCTCCCACGACTCCTAAGGAGCCTGAGCCCACCACCCCCAAGGAGCCTGAACCCACGACCCCTAAGGAGCCTGAACCCACGACCCCCAAGGAACCAGCTCCCACCACCCCTAAGGAATCAGCACCCACAACCCCTAAGGAGCCTGAACCCACCACCCCCAAGGAACCAGCACCCACAACCCCTAAGGAGCCTGAACCCACCACCCCTAAGGAACCAGCACCCACGACCCCTAAGGAGCCTGAACCCACCACCCCCAAGGAACCAGCACCCACGACCCCTAAAGAGCCCGAACCCACCGCCCCCAAGGAACCAGCACCCAAGACCCCTAAAGAGCCTGAACCCACTGCCCCCAAGGAACCAGCACCCACGACCCCTAAAGAGCCTGAACCCACAACCCCCAAGGAACCAGCACCCACGACCCCTAAGGAGCCTGAACCCACAACCCCCAAGGAACCAGCTCCTACCACTTCTAAAGAGCCTGCACCCACAACTCCCAAGACTCCTGCTGAAGTAACTCCTGAGTTTCCTGAAGCACCCACACCAAAGGCTCTTGAAGACAGTCCTAAGGAACCCACTGTGTCACCAACTAAGACTCCCGAGGTAAGCAAACCTGGAATGACTACAGCAGCTAAAGAGAAGGCAACAGAAAAAGACCCACCCCAAACTACAACTGTTGCCCCTAAGAAGACAACAATTAAACCAGAAGAGACTACTGAGTCAGAAGCAAGCGCCACCACATCACCCCAAATTACCACTCTGAAAACAACAACTCTCGCACCCAAAGTAACTGCTCCAGCTGAAGAGACTCCGGACAAACCTGAAGAAACAACCCCTGCATCAGAAGATCCTGACGCTCCTAAGACAACTCTGAAACCCCAGAAACCAACCAAAGCACCCAAGAAGCCCAGCTCTACCAAAAAGCCAAGCAAAGCACCTAAGAAGCCCGCCGCTACCAGAAAGCCAAAGACAAAAAAAGAGAAAAAACCAAAAACGACACCATCTCCTCTGAAGACGACTTCGGCAGTGCCTGAACTGAACACCACTCCTTTAGAAGTCCTGCGGCCGACCACAGCTAGCCCTAAGCAAACTCCAGACTTAGAAACAGCTGAAGTAGATCCAGACCATGAAGACGCGGACGAAGGTGAAGAAGGAAAACCTCTCATGATCCCCAGGCCTCCTGTGCTCTCCCCCATCCTGATTCCAGGCTCTGATCACTTGGCCGGCGCCCTCAACCACGGCATTAGCACCAATCCCATGCTCTCAGGTACTAAGACTCAGTTACTTTCCTGTTGTTGAGATCCATGGTCTGGAACTCTAACTGGGGATCCTAGCACGTTTGAGGACAGCTTCCTACAGGCGTGCAGAGGAAGTACAAGCACAGTATACACACTTAGTCTGCAGGACACTGAGTGGTAGGTAGCGTCAGAAACGTCGTCTTGGTGAAGTCTGGACAGGTCTGTTGTAAGCGGAAATGGGGTGTAGAATTTAAAAATAATTTAGTTAGCTAGGACTTTATCCTTCAGAGAGCATAATGGAAAGAAGAAAAAAAAAACATTTCCTTTCCTAACTCAACCCCAGGGAAGTAACTGAAAACAGTTCAAATGTCCAATAAATAGCTCATGTACATGAAGATCAGGACAACCTGGCCTCTTACACCTCACTATGATCGTTATGTTATACTCCTGAATCACGTTAGGGAAGAGGAATTACGGAACCATATCACTTCCTTTTCACCTTACTAGATTTTAGAAGGGCAAACAGGAAGCAGAATCCGGTTAAGGATTTGAAAACAACCAACTGCGTTTCCCCATCTGTTCTCTATTAACTTTTCCCGATTTGTTTTAGATGAGACCAATTTGTGCAACGGTAAGCCAGTGGACGGACTGACGACTCTGCGCAATGGGACGTTAGTTGCATTTCGAGGTGAGCTATCATGAGGAAAACATGAATGTGTTTCCTCTTGTTTTGTACTGGCATTCCTGAACACAAAGTCGGCAGTGAGCTAATTTGAGTTGTGCTTTTAAAGGGAAACTGACTCATGATTCTACACTAAATGAGAATATTGGATGGGTTAATTTAGGCACATAAATATAAAAATACTATAATTGTAATTACTGAAGGTTTGTGTGATAGGATTTCAAAGTGTCGAATGACAGAGATTTGCACTCCATGACCTATTTTCTTAGAAGAGTATGCCTCCATTGTGAGGTAAGAAAAGTTGTATTTTTTGTTGGAGAGTAACAGTGAATTAAGTAGATTTCCCTTGGACTGGTGTTTTAGCTCTCTTAGAACACAGATTAAGTATGTAGTCATTAAGTTATACTCTGATTCTAGAAAGTAAAAACACTGAAACCCACAAAGGCAGAAAGATCTTTTCTAGAGAAGTAGGCAAATGAGCGGGTGCGAAGGCTCAGTGGTTGAAGGTACCCACTGTCAAGGCTGATGATCGGTACTGACCTCTGGGACCTACACGGTGGGAGGAGAAAGCCAACTCTCACAAGTTGTTTTGTGACCTCCACATACACCTGCAAGTGTCCACACATACAAACCAACCAACCTAACCCAAATCAAATGAAAATCAAGGTGGGTGCAGGAGTACGCTAATTCCAACACACAGGAGCTGGAGGAAGGTAGAATCTCTGAGTTCAAGTCAGCCTGGTGTGCACAGATGGTCTCAAAACCCTCCAAATTAACTATCTGAATTAATTTTCTCTTTTTCACTTGGCTCTACTTCCAGGCACTTAACATGTTGGATTCATTTTTTCTTTATAATCACATTTTTTTTTCTGTTGAGACGTATTTTAGTATTCAGACTATAGGCTGACATGTCTCTTTAATTTTTAGGTCATTATTTCTGGATGCTAAATCCATTCAGACCACCATCCCCAGCACGCCTGATTACAGAAGTCTGGGGCATTCCTTCCCCCATTGACACTGTTTTCACTAGATGCAACTGCGAAGGGAAAACTTTCTTCTTTAAGGTAACAGAGATATTGCTTGGAAAAAAAGATGCAGTTGCACCTTGTCCTAACTCATCTTAACCTTCAATTTGGAAACAATGAATCTCTCAAAAGTAATTTCATACTATTGATCATCTGCTTATTCAAATTCAACCAAGTTAGTGTGCTCCCCTATACTGAAATCAGAATGAATTCCAGAACCATGCCTACAAATCCTTTAACATCATCTTCTCTTTTTTAACAACCAGGATTCTCAGTACTGGCGCTTCACTAATGATGTACAAGATGCCGGGTATCCTAAACAAATCGTCAAAGGCTTCGGAGGACTAACAGGGAAAATAGTGGCGGCTCTTTCAATTGCCAGGCACAAGGACAGGCCTGAATCCGTGTACTTTTTCAAGAGAGGTCTGTATCACACGGCTGGCAACGTGACACTGCTTTTTAAAAACTGGTGCTGGTATTTTATTGCTAAAAATATTACAGGACATAAGAGTTTAGGTCTCCTGCAATGTGAAACATAGAACATCTTGGTCTGACAAAAAGAATGCTATCATTGACTGTGTGAGGCCATGTGTTGAATTCAAGTCTTAGTAATTACTGTATTTCAAGAATATTTTTCAATTAACTATTCAATTAACAATAGCCATTATTAAAAATCTCTCTATATATATTTATGAAAACAACCAAAAAATGTAAAGGCAATCCTAAGCCATTCCTTTGTTTTTGTTTGCTATGTACCTTTCCTAACGTAACAGGTGGCAACGTTCAGCAGTACACCTATAAACACGAGCCCACGAGGAAGTGCACTGGACGGAGGCCTGCTATCAACTACTCGGTGTACGGGCAGGCAGCGCAGGTCAGGAGGCGCCGCTTTGAGCGTGCTGTTGGACCTTTCCAGACACACACCGTCAGAGTCCATTACTCGCTGCCCATGAGAGTTGTTTATCAAGACAAGGGTAATGTTTTCATCATATTAAGAATTCTGATCACGATGGAGATTATTGGTCAAAAAGTACTAACAATTTAAACTTACTGATGTAAAACAAACCCCTTTGCCTTACTGAGTAATAACCAAAGATTAATTCTTTGTTTTTCCTTTGTGGGTAAAGGAAGTAGTTTACTCAAGCACCGTATACAAATCTCTAACCCTCAAACAATCCTAACATTAGTGCTAATGCCATAGCAGAGAGCCGATTCAGAACCTGGGCTCATGCAGCTCTAAGGCTGGAAACTATCTCACGCACCTTATTACCAATTCTGTCTGCAGGTTTCCTCCATAACGAAGTCAAAGTGAGCATGATGTGGAGAGGGTTTCCAAACGTTGTTACCTCAGCAATAACACTGCCTAACATTAGAAAACCCGACGGCTATGATTACTATGCCTTTTCTAAAGGTAAGCAGGATGCGAACAGTTTCGGGAACTTCCCAAGTTGATCTCACTGGTGGAAGCACAAACATAATTTAAGTGGAGATGGCAAGTGTACAGTCTTGACTGTAAGGAAGAAACTCCACGCCAGTGCTCACTCAACGTGAGGGGAGGGGAGAGACTGCGGCACTAACTTCCTTTAACGGACGGCAGCGCACAGCTAGGAGCTGAGGAGGAACCTGGCACAGAGACACAGCACTTGTTTCTATCACCAGCAGCACTGAGGATTCTACACAGCAATACAGTCTAGAGGTGTAGAAGACAGTCATGGAGTGGAGTTTTATTAACTAAAGTATTTTAACTAGGACACTTATCTTTCAAAAGATGAGTAATGTAAATTATTCCACGCATGATTCCATAATATGAATGTCTAAAAAGTGTATTTTAAAAATGATAAAAGTCAAATGAATCATCTTTTAAATCTTTTAAATTAATTGGTTCTTTAAATAGTTATTTTATAAAGGAGCACTGACCCTAACAGTACTGAAGGATGCTGAAAGATCACTCCATCCACACCAGAAAATTAGTGAAATCACTCTTGATACTGAAATGATACTGCTTTGAATATAATAATCAACACAAACAGTGTTTTACCTTCTTTTTAATTAAAAAGATGATTTCTCTTTCCCATTTAGATCAATACTATAACATCGATGTGCCAACTAGAACAGCAAGAGCAGTTACTACTCGTTCTGGGCAGACGCTCTCCAAAGTCTGGTACAACTGTCCTTAGACTGATGGGCAAAGAAGAGTCACGAAAACGAAAGGAAGAAAACAATGATCAATTCTGACACTGAAATACATTTTATTAATAAAGAGTGTTGAAATGAGCATACCTATTTATACAAAACACTTCTCAACTCGACAATCATTATATTAAAACAGATCTGCCAATCTTATTCACAGGTGTCAATAGTTTACAGGTCACTTAGTTCATATTCCCTCTATTTATTCCTCCTCTTCCTCCCACTGCATGGCTTACACCTGGAGAAGGAAATAATAAAAGGCAATCACTCATGGTCAACAGAAATACCTAAGATATTATAAATATTAAAAGGTATTCCCATGTTGATTAACAGTTATTATAAATGGGTCACTAGTACTGATGTAAATGCAGACTAACGAGTTACATTAGAAAACGTGGAAATACTAAAACCTTGTATTTCTTTACTCGCTACAACAGCCACAAAACTTTGATTGCACAAAAAGCACTGCACAACATAAGAACACAGGTAGAGCTAGCACAATGAACACACAGCATGGGAACACTTCAGATTTTCCAAATCTTTCTTTGGATCCAATAAAATAAGATACCAATTGTATGTAAAAAACACACATTTTGTACCTATGACAAATAAACTGCTTTAAAGAAGCTCTCTGGTTGTGAAGCATCACATTGTAACATGTAATTATGAATCAATCCTTACAGTTTACATAAGAAACTTGTCGCACATGTTATTATCCCACACATCAACTAATCTGTATGTTGGAACTCACCTCTCTGTCTGTTAAACTGACGACCACGAACGCCTTGTCTCAATGTTGTCTGAAGTCTTACTCTTCTGAAAGGCTTCGGCTGACTGCTGCTAGTGTCTAAAGAAAGCATTAAGATACAATCTTAACAACAAAGCTGCTACAATTAACTACTAGGTCAGTACACAAATTCAGATGTGCCCATTGTTCAATATTCAAGTTTGCTTCTTCAGAGGGAAGGAAACTAAACAATCACACAAACACACACAAAAACTGGTACAATTAAAAAGTAAAAACAAGGCTATTGGTGGTGGTGCATGCCTTTAGTCCCAGTACTTGGGAGGTAGAGGCAGCTTAACTCTGTTAAGTCTGAGGCCAGCCTGGTCTATAAGAGCTAGTTCCAGGGTAGGCACCAAGGTTACAGAGAAACCCTGTCTCAAAACAAACAAACAAAACCAGAAACAAACAGTAAAACCAAAACAAAACCAAAACACAGTATCAAAACAATCTACTTTGAGAAAAAAAAAAACATAGAGTTTATTTGTTCAACCACTCAACTAACTCAGGAGGTTATTTAAGACAACTCTCTGGTATACACAGGATGCCAGGGGCAGGCGAATATTACGGTAACAAAGAATCAGATTCCAGAGAAGCCAAAAATATCCTATCATCTCTGACTTGTAGTTCTGTCTACATTAAATCATTAGCAAATCCTGTCAGCTCAAATTTAAACAAACTCACCCGAACCACACAGCTGTATCTTGTTCAAGTCACATGCTCTGCATTTCAACAGCTTCCAAATTTGTCTGTTTCTGCTCATTACTAAATTTTAGTCTCTTTTACACCATGGCCAAACTGCCTGCAGCATCATATCATTAATCTATGTGAAGAATTTCAACTGTGTTCCATCTCTACAAGACTCAAAACAAGCTTCCCAGTCTCAGTCCTCTGCTCCAGCCACGATGACCTCCTTGCTGACTTTGAACGCCTCAGACACAACCCATTGGCTTATGGGACTTTATGCAACTGCATAGTTTTGATCCTTTTCCAAATGTTAGTTTCTTGGCCACATTTTCTGTGAAATTCCCAGTTATGTAAGACATTCAAATTTGCTGAATGAGTACCCAGCCAGAGAACAGGATTAATGTAATGGCATTCTATTTTCTAGTGACAACCAACCACATTTTCTCACACAAGGGCTAGTCTGGCAACTACTATTACTTCTACTATTGAGGGAAGACAATTCTTAGAGAACATGAACAGGACTAATAATTATATTTAAAATTTCTGATATTTTTGTGCATAAAGCTATTTGCAATTTTGACTACGAGATTCAGTATGAAATGTGGCTATGTAAAGTAGCCAGCTGCTAAAATTTGGACAAAAGAGTTGTACCTAGAACTATAAGCAACTAGTTGAAATGGCAGAAAAGTAACTAAGAGGGATAGGAAGAAATTTGGGGACAGCAAAATTATGTGACTGTAAAATACAATTAAGGAAGTCTGTTATAACATGATTGTTCTATAAAAATTTCAGAATAACCATCATGATGGAGTATTCCATTTCCTTAAATGAAAGGTGAATTTCCTCAAAACTGAAGGTGAATTGCCTTATGCATTCTAAGATTTAAAAGCTTAGCATGCAGTTTTATTGAGTGGAGAGTCTAGAGGAAAACTTGCATCCTGGCTTACAGCTTATTAGCTACATGACCTTGTGAAGTAATTTAACTTTCCTATGCTTTAGTCTTCATACCTAAAATATGGGAATGGACCCTACCAAACTGGCTTGTTGTGAGAACCAAATAATATGTGTAAAAGGCTTGACAATAGCCTGACACACAGTTAATACTCAAAAGATGCCTATTTATATAGAAAGCCCACAGAAGTATCTTTTATTATAAGACATAATCTTTCCAAAGTTAAATTTAAGAACTTGAAGACAACTCTTTAAATTAGTAAGTTTCAAGCATGGTTTTGAAGTAAATGGAGTCCCTCCTCCAAGCCTCCAGTTCACAGCTGCTCTGGCACAAACAGGAGAGCTAGGGAAACACTCCTTCGATTCCTTCCCAATACAACCACCCCTCCAATTCAAGAGCACCTTTAGACAGGTGAGTAAGTCATAGGATCTGAGAAAAAAACAGAACAGTAAAGAAAAAGAAGCACAGTTAGGAGACCCAAACACCTTTCAGGCCCTGTGCTGACACCGTTTATCTGGATGAAATGTGAGTAAACTACTCTCCTGGTGGGGTCCACCATCTTCGTGCTTCGATTAACGCCAGAACATCCGAATATCGCAGTAATAAGCTCCTTTTAATGATAAAAATTAAGGAATGTGTTTTACAAGTCAGGAGTGTGGACATGAGAGCTGCGTCTCTGGTAAGCATCTCTGCAGACAAGGGGGATAAATGCAGGCTGCATGCGCACAGTCCTTACCCACAGAAGAGCTGGACGGAGGGTCCTGGCTGGTTGAGGGGAGATCGGACTCATCAGATGCCTGCACAGGCTCCTCTTCCTGTTGGCTATCAATTTCTAGGCCTGCCTCTGAACTAATACTAAGAAAATAAATGTTGATTAGAAAACGTAAAACGGAATCTACAAAGTAACTCAAATGTTCCCAAATTCTTTTTGATTTACTTTGTAAACAGTTCCAGAGTTCTAGTCTTAAGTAAAAATTAGACTCTGATAAAGACTGTCATTTTTTTTTTTAATAAAGAAAGCAGAGCAGGGGTTGGGAGTGAGGACTCCAGTTGTCTTCCTTTTACCTCCTTTCTTACTAGGATGTCCTGCAATTTTGCTTTTTCTTTTCCCAGTGATTCAGCAGCCCTTCTTCACCATTTGACAAAAATGTTTACATTCTTGACACTCACAGGGAATATATTAGACTTTGATAAACTCTCAAACAAAAGGCAAGAGTTATTCACAATTGCCTCAACTAGTAACAGCAGATTAGTAAGTCACCATGAGTAACAAGTTATGGGTATGAGAGTACCTGATTCAGTGGCTATATTTTCTCTTTCTCCCTTTAAGAAGCACAGGACGGTAGCTAGTAAAAAACCTGAATCTGGTCTAATCTTTCCTCCTTTATCACCTGAAAACATTTGTACAGTTTCTGGTAACAACTTACCCAAGAGATAAGATGGGGAGGTATAAACAGCACGGGGTGGAAGTTAAGTTTTCAAGTCTCACCCGAGCTGGCTACGAGTAGAATAGTCTAAGCAAATTACTGTTAACATGCTCCGAACTTAATTTCTATGATGGAAAGTGATACATTTTAGGAATATGGTGTAGGACAAATATAAAGTGACCCGAAAACATGTAGAGAATTAGTAGCAGCTAGTATTCTCAGTGGGACGTACCGCCCTCGAAAAGTACCAATGTTAAAGAATACAAACACACCTGCTCTTTACTTTATAGTACCCAGTAGACCTGGCTTATGAAACATCGTCAAAGAGTCCTTGAGCTCTAAGCAGAAAACCCGCGTTCTACCAGTAATGTTTCTGACCATTAAACAATAAATTTTCCATTTTATAAGAATTAGATTCCAGTTTGAAACTTAACTCTCCATGGCTCCTTTTAGCAAATTATTTGTTTCCTTAGAATGAAAAAAAGTTTTCAATAATGCTTTTTAAAATTGTCTCTCATAGTAACCCTAAATTCTGAAGCTGCTTTGATTTTTGAACACAAGGCAGCTTTTTCAAACATAGGCTTTGGCTTAGCCACAGAGTAGGGCAACGCTGAGAACACACTCTGATGTATTTGCTTGCTCAAGAGAACAATTATTGACAACATACAAAAACTACAAAACGAATCATACCCTTCAGACTCTGCCTCCACAAACACTTCGTCTCCATCGTCACCAGTGGCTGTTTCGTTGGTCGTGGATAAAGTGCCCGTGGATGTTGTCACCATCGGAACAGACTGAGAAGCATGCTCTGAAGCATCAGACGTGGTACTCTCAGTAAACACAGTCACTTAAAAAGAAAGAAAATAAACACATTTACCTTTGTGGTTCATTAATTTTGAGCCAGAATAGATCCAATGTCACCAATAAAATAAAATGTCCCCATTTATCTGGCACCAACCTGGGGCTGCTACTTGGAGAGGTGTAGTGGGAACACTGCGGCCACCAGACTCTTCCTCATGAGCCAGAAAGAGGGGTGTTTCATACATTCCCAAACCTAGAGACAATTGTGAACATCAGTGAATGACTAAAAGAACACAAAGAAAAGAATTAGCACAAAGTGAACATTTTTAAGCTCATAATTTAGTTGCTCCATAAAGGAAAAAAAAAAATCAAGCTCAATACATACTCTACACTTCTTTTAAACACAATAACACTAATTAAAGTACTCCAAGCAATTAGCAAAAATGTCTTTTTTATTCTTATTTGAATGTATTAATTGTACACACACAAAAAGTGGTTTTGTTAACAGTTTAAAACAAGTTAATTTTATGGCGTATCCAACTATCAACAAGTACTCTGTTGAAATCCATTCCTCACATAACTGCTAAGGTTTTTACTTCTTTGTAATTCAGCAATCCCTTTCTTAAGCAGAGGATGACAAGGATGGCTATCTTGAATTTTATTTTCTATAGAAATAGCATTTATTCTGATGCCACCATTCTGTAGCATGCTGTGAGCAGCACCCTAGAGTCACAGTCTCCACCCAGGAGAGGGAACCTTGTTTATGAGCAGTTCTGCCCACCTTGGTGGCGTTCTGCTTTCTAGGCAAAAATAGGCCTGTTGTACTGTATGGCCTTTCAGATGTACCCCAGGAAGGAGACTCTTTTTAAGAAATGCAGTCTGTTTCTGTGACTCTGGAAAGTGCTGGGGGGGAGAAAACATCCCTGCCCACTCATCATGCCCGAGGGATCTACAGAACAGCTTTTCTCCTTCCTG